AAGGAGGGGGGGGGGGGGGGGGGGCGCTTGCCAAAGCTTGGCTCTGCCACTGCTTTGAATGAAAGGGCACAGATGTATTAGCTAAAGTTGTTGAAAGGTCCATAAACAAGCTCAATTAACCCTTGGCACCTACCAACCACAACAACAAATGCACATTGTACCAAATAAATAAATAACTCCTCATTCCTCAAAGGCTAACCAAAAGTCTCAATCAAATTCAAATCAATAGGATACCATATCACATCCTTAGAAGATTGTCATATTGATCCCCGATCAAATGGGGTCAAAGTGACCATCAATGAAACCTGATTATGTTAAATACAATCGCATGCCTGTTCTCGAGTTCTGCATGATATATTGATGTATACCACAGGACTCATATATATTAATCAAGATTTGGGAAGAAGACCAACAATGGCACAGCAACAAATGGTTCGTTATGAGACCATGTAAATAGAACTCATACCTAAATAATTTAAATCATGACAAGTGATGATCCTATGTGATACCTTAGTAAGATATCAAAACAACTAAACCAAAAGAGGGGGAAAAAAGACAATACTATAATGAAAAGCCATATCAAAACAAGAAAATTCCAGAGGTGCTCTCCAATTAAATTCACAAATGCGAAAATGAAAATGGAATTTTATTGCATCTGAGTCAAAGTAATTTCCACCCACAGTGAGATTTTCCTAATACTTTATAAAACCCTAAAAGGAACAGCATTCCCTTTCATTTGATCAGTGGTTTATACTTAAAACAAAAAGAAGAATAGAGTCAAAAGATCAAACCCAAATCAATATCAACATACTATAGACTAATTGAAACTAAATCAAACAGAAAGTAACATAAACAGAGTATGAAAGAGGGCAAATCTCAGATCTTTACATACCCGGAGATGCACCAGGAGCAACACTCACTGTCGGAAAAAAAAAACAAAAAGAATATTAATTTCCGAATTCAGAAAATATAATACACATATAGTATGTTCTATGAAATCGCCGAGGAATGCTTTTTCTCCGACAAATAAACATCGCAAATATGCTCAGAAAGCAGTCAAATAGACCAAAACCATGTAAATATCTTCTAAGAAAATAAGAAAAGCAAGTTAATATAGCCAAAAGGAAGGGAAATTTTCAAGGAAAATATTTTTTATTCCGAGAAACTGAGAGATTAAACGACAAGGAAACTTTGTCTATGATGGAAAATTTCTCGTAAAGCATACAGGAATTTAAAAAAAAAAATGGGAATCACGCAGAAAAGATGAAGGTAAAGGGAGATGAGTCATGAGACATACATAAAACCCTCAAACGAAGTAAAGTATTGATTAAGAAACCATTTTCCCGAGAAACAAACAGAGAGAATCAGGTAAGAAAAACTCAAATAGCCATAAAAAAAACCTAGCAATGAGAACATTAAACAGAAGAAACAATGGGTATAAAAAAACCCAACAAGCTGTTGTTGATAAAAGAGACTCACATCCACAGTTGCTAACAGAAGGAGCGGAGAGATGGCAAGCAGAGGGGAGAGTCAAAGCCTTAGTAACATTCAAAGTAATACCCAACTGAGCACTATTCTTAAAAGCGTCACAGAGACACTCGGCATTGGTCTTAAGCACCGTCTTCAGCCCAGAACAGCACGATCCTTCCGGCTTCTTCACCGTGCTTCCATTGGTAACGTAGGAGAGGCAGTCCGCCAAGTTCAGCACCAGGTTCGAACAATCCACCGCCGGCGACGGCGCGGCGTGGTGTGCAGAGTCGACGCTGGTGACAACCCACATGGCTAGAATGCAGAGAAGAGTGGCGGTTACTGGATTCTTCGCCATTTTTGGGAGCAGAAGGAGAGAGAAAATGCTGGCTAATTTGCTTGGGTTGTTGGTAGAGATTTGGGGTTGGGGCTAGTGCAGGAAATGGGGAGGCGGGGTGGGGNACTATAGACTAATTGAAACTAAATCAAACAGAAAGTAACATAAACAGAGTATGAAAGAGGGCAAATCTCAGATCTTTACATACCCGGAGATGCACCAGGAGCAACACTCACTGTCGGAAAAAAAAAACAAAAAGAATATTAATTTCCGAATTCAGAAAATATAATACACATATAGTATGTTCTATGAAATCGCCGAGGAATGCTTTTTCTCCGACAAATAAACATCGCAAATATGCTCAGAAAGCAGTCAAATAGATCAAAACCATGTAAATATCTTCTAAGAAAATAAGAAAAGCAAGTTAATATAGCCAAAAAGGAAGGGAAATTTTCAAGGAAAATATTTTTTATTCCGAGAAACAGAGAGATTAAACGACAAGGAAACTTTGTCTATGATGGAAAATTTCTCGTAAAGCATACAGGAATTTAAAAAAAAAAATGGGAATCACGCAGAAAAGATGAAGGTAAAGGGAGATGAGTCATGAGACATACATAAAACCCTCAAACGAAGTAAAGTATTGATTAAGAAACCATTTTCTCGAGAAACAAACAGAGAGAATCAGGTAAGAAAAACTCAAATAGCCATAAAAAAAACCTAGCAATGAGAACATTAAACAGAAGAAACAATGGGTATAAAAAAACCCAACAAGCTGTTGTTGATAAAAGAGACTCACATCCACAGTTGCTAACAGAAGGAGCGGAGAGATGGCAAGCAGAGGGGAGAGTCAAAGCCTTAGTAACATTCAAAGTAATACCCAACTGAGCACTATTCTTAAAAGCGTCACAGAGACACTCGGCATTGGTCTTAAGCACCGTCTTCAGCCCAGAACAGCACGATCCTTCCGGCTTCTTCACCGTGCTTCCATTGGTAACGTAGGAGAGGCAGTCCGCCAAGTTCAGCACCAGGTTCGAACAATCCACCGCCGGCGACGGCGCGGCGTGGTGTGCAGAGTCGACGCTGGTGACAACCCACATGGCTAGAATGCAGAGAAGAGTGGCGGTTACTGGATTCTTCGCCATTTTTGGGAGCAGAAGGAGAGAGAAAATGCTGGCTAATTTGCTTGGGTTGTTGGTAGAGATTTGGGGTTGGGGCTAGTGCAGGAAATGGGGAGGCGGGGTGGGGTGTGGATGTGTTGGCAGGAGTCGGTTTCTTCTTTGGAACATGGGGGACACGTGGTGGAGATTCTGAACTTTTAAGTGCTTTTTCGGAATGGAGGGTTGTAAATGCGACGTAACTACTTGTTTGGGTAAATATTTTGCATTCGATTTTCAAAAAGGTCCCTAATCTTCTATTTCTTTCACTTTAATTATTAATTTTATATTAATAAAATCATTCCGTCCATTTCACTTGTAGACTAATGACATTAGATTTATAGATGACAAACAAATGAGCTTTGCCTACGTAGTTCTAACGAGTAAAATAGACGAAATTTTTTTTATTAATAGTTTAAAGATTAAATTAATAATAGATTGAGCAAAAAAATAGATCAACTTGAAAAATTAAATGATTTGACATTAATATAGTGACACGAGTAATGCTATTTAGATCTAAAAAATTTGATGTAATTGGTTAATCTAATAATATAACTTCATCAAAACTATTAGATTAATATTAAGTTTCAATGTTTGATGAGGTCTACAGTCAGTCAAAAAATTATAGTAAATTAGGTCAATAAATTATGTCAGTAAATTAAATCTCAATAACATTGCTCTAGCAACACTAACTAAGCAAAAAGTACAAGCTCTTCCTTAACCAATTCTCGACCGCCTTTACACCTTAATCTCAAGAAATCCCACCACTTTCATTCAACATTTTATTTGAGTTTGACATTCCCTTTATTTTCCTCACCCCAGGATCTCCTTTCCCATGTCGTGGAAGTGCAATAATGCTCCCTCGTTCTTGCATTTGAAAGACTTTTTTCAATATCTCTAAACGTGTTTTTTATTTTTATAAGTGAAATGTTGAGTCCGTTTGCTAAACCAGTATCACGTCGGCTGAAATTCTCGAATTGATTGAATGTGGAATTTCATTCATGTGGTGTAAAATAAAAGTGTAAGGCAAGGGAATGATGTAGAGAGACACCATAGAGAATGACAGTTTTAACGTCTATCCGTTAGAGACACTATGACTAATTTGTTGCTAGAAAGATGAGCATACACATAGTAGTAGTCATCTTTGTCACGGGACTAAACGTGTTGTCGTATTCAAGCTTGTACTATTGTGAGAAAGTACAAGCAATCAATCAACCCCTTCATACCTCGATCCAATCAAGGTTAATCTCTTTTGTTTGGGCGCGTAGCTCAAAGAAAGTTCCTCTTGAACAAGGGAAGAGCAATATAGTATTAGCTTCAATTGACGACTATAATAAATGTTGAATTTGGTGCTTTTACTGAATTTGCATCCCAAAATCAATGTTAGTCAATATAACCACATTTGTGTTATTTTTTTTTTTTAAGTTTTTCAATTAATTTCTTTTCTTCCGTCAGTATAACATTACTCATGAACCGTGACAAAGCAAACATAAGGTCATATATTTTGATGTGCAATTTCAAAATTACCTAGACAAACCCAATTTGCTTGTATTTCTTATTTAATGTCCACAAAAAATCTGGTACACTTCATTTTCAGATGGGGCCCTTCTACACTAAAGTAAAGCTAGACTTCAATAATTTTGTGGAATTTTACAAGTTTATTCAAAGTCTTCCGCCTCCTAACTTTAGTTCTCCACCACAATTATGGTACCAGACTATGGCATGTTAGTACCTTTTCTTTTTCGTTTTTTTATCAGAAACCATTACAGGAAGGGGTGATGAGATTGTGATCCATGACTTTAAGATTAGTGGGAGTTAATTACGGTATTAAAAAAAAATTATTTAGTATCATACTTTTATTTATAGGGTGTAATTTAAGTGAGTCAACTCGAGTTTATACTGAGCCTAACTTAAAAAAAATAGTATTTGGGTGAGAGTTTTAAATATTTGGGTTTGACCCGTATTCAAAAAGTCTAATCCGAATTAAATTCGGACAATATCCAATTTGAGATCTTGGGTTTTCAGATTCAACCTGACAAATTATGCGCCTCTGTTGGCTAGCTATCTCTCTGCTCTCCTCTCCTCTCTCGTTTTATACCTCTTCTCTCTCATTTTCTGTCTGTCTCGTTTTATGCCCAATCATCTCCATCTTCAACGATCAAAGACCTTCATCGAAAAATCTTCCGCGATCGAAGACCTTCGTCGAAAATCTTATACCCTATCAAATCTGCAAAAATCAAGTGCAAAGTTTTAAAAAATCGGAGTTGGTTTGCTAAGAGATGCGCAAAGCTGAGTGGGCAGTGGTGTGGCCAGATCTGGTGGGTGTGGTGGCAGTGGCTGTGTGGGCATTGGCGTGGTTGTTGTGTGGGCAGTGGGCAGCGGTGACAGTGGCTATGATATTTTGGATCTTTTGGTTTAATTTTTTTGTTTTGCGTAATTTTTTTTTAGAGTAATTTTAGATAGAATTAAAAAGTAGACTTAAAAATCAAATTTGATAATCTCAACTATTTAATAGGTAGTGGGTCTCAATAAATGCTGGGACCCACAGTAAAATTGTTGTAATTATCAAGTCTGATTTTTAAGTTTATTTTTTAAGTTCATATAGTATTATGCTTTTTTTTAATCTAAATTGTAATACAAATTCACCCCGAATTTAAACTTAAAATCAGCCCGAATTAAAAAATTCGAATTCAACTCAAACTCGCCTGAATTTAACTTGGGCAATACTCAGTTTGAATACCTTCGGTTAAAGTCAGGTTTGGGTCGAAGATGATATACGTAGGGTTGAGCTAGGTTTAACCCCTCAACCTGCCCGAGTTACACCTCCTATCTATTTATCATATTTGTGGTTATTTTTATTACATTTATTAGTGTTTTTACCATTGTTGTAGTACCTAAAAAATTAATAAAAATAGTTACCACAACAATAATAAAAATATCTATAAATGTTATAAAAAAAACACTCACAAATGTGATAAAACAACCATAAAAGCGATAATTTTTTAATTATGGGAGAAAAATGATAAAAATAATTACCACAAATAATATAAATACTCAAAATAGTGGTAAAAACACCGACAAAAATTGTAAATCACTAACAAAGGTGATAAATTCTTTAATTGTAAAATGACCCACAAAATTTATAAAAATACTCTTTAAACTAGTAAATTTTGAAGATATAGTACTTACTTTTCTTATTGGTACAATAATTAAATTCCTAACAGTGATCATTAAACCATCTAACAACCGTTAACCTCGACATTTGAATACTTCAAAGTCTTCCTTTTTTAAATCATGAAATGAAATTGCCTTATTGTGCAAATTTGACCGCATGATATATCTATAGTAATAGCTAAGGCTATAGTACTACTAATATGATTTATAACCCAAGCATTGCACTGGGGAAACAGAGTTCTTATTCAAATTCCTACCGATGCAGAATCCGAAGTTTTATGATGGGACTTTCTATGAGATCTATTCACTAAAGCAAGGTGATCATAGAAATAAAAATAAAATAAAACAATAAAATAAGAAACTTTACACGGATCGAATTCTCATTGTGTAAAAAAGGATTTGTAATTCTCATTGTGTAAAAAAGGTTGTGTACCATAGTTGGATCATTATAATTAATAGTTTTAGTACACTAATAATGTATCAAATGTGGTACGCTACTAAAAATTATTGTTAAAAAAGAGTGAAATGAAGATTTGGACTTGACTCAAACCAAGCCTAGAATTATGGATTAGGTCTAGAATCACATCTTAAACCCAGCTCATGGGCCTAGTTTATAATTGTAGGCCAAGCCCACCATAGGAAGGAAGAAGTAATATCGGGTCAGCCGCCTTGTGACGAGAGATTCAGTTTATAACTGACATTCAAAAAGGTCTTATTGGGAAGTGCATGTCACCACCTCCATGAAATTGTCTCGTCTATTATGAGAAGGGTACCACCTTTACCAAACTATTTCACCTAATATGAGAAAAACGCTTCAACCTGTTAGGAAATCTATATAAATTATAAGTCTCACCTACACAAGGGGCATTTCACACATATCACTCACACTTGAGCACCCTACACTCCTTCTTGATGCAACAAAACACTCCGATCATTCTAACCCTTCACAGTGGAATAAGTCATTTTGACTGAATCACTTAAATTGTGTTTTGCTTGTATTGACTTTCATCATTAAATAATATATTAAATATTTGATAGGTAGTGGATAAACACGTTTTGTGCATCATCACAATGTAGTGATACTATAACTCCATTTGACAAGACCAAATGTTTAAATTACCAATTAAAAAAGTTGAAAATCAATTTAAAATATTAACATAGAATTTAAAATAATAACTAATCAGATGGTATTCATGATTGATCATTAGGGATAGCGGTGGATCAAGAAAAAACGAGTATTCGTCCAAATCTATCTTGTTTGAACTGATGATGACCATACATATTGGACGGTAGGCATATCCGAGAATACCATATAAACTCATGTGGGAATGGATTGAAACTCATCCCTGTCCCACCCTACCCCCGCCTCGCTAATAAAATAATTGAATGAAATACGCATTTGTTATACAAATTATTTTTGTGAATTTTATGTTTGATCCATTGGTTATATAATGAGTTTTCATTCTTCTTATAAATTCATTTGTGAGGTTTTATGGATTTTTTTTAATTTTTTTTTAAAATCATAGAAATTAATTGTTATGGGTAAGAATGAGATCAAAATTTACCTGCAGGGTGGATTAAAATTTTTGTCATTTATGGGAGATCAACAAATATTTTTGAAGCAGATATATAGGTGGAGACTACTCCCTCCGCTCCTATTCCACCCCCAGTCCACTGATATCCCTATCATTCAAAAAGTTACCTCAAACAATGATAACTTTACCTTTAAAAATATATAATTTAATTTAAAAAAAAATAATAACTTTTGGTATAATACTAAAATTCTTTTTTCGATAGGGTAGAATATACCCTTC